AGGACGGGGAAGAACTGTTTTATTATGTTGTTGTTGTTGTTGTTGTTAAGTGCCGTCGAGTCGGTTCCGACCCATAGTGACCCTGTACAGGGTTTCCGAGGATGTAAATCCTTACGGGAGTAGAAAGCCTCATCTTTCTCCCGCGAAGCGGCTGGTAGTTTCGAACCGCTGACCTTAAGGTTCGCAGCCCGATTTGTAACCACTATGCTACCAGAGCTCCTTATAAGTGTTCTTATATATATGTTCTTATGAGTTTTACAAGTGTAAAAGCCACCCCCAGCCCTGTACTCTACTGCCAAGCTGTTTGGGCCCCATGGAAGACAGAGCCTGAATGTGATACCCTAGGTTTCCAGGAGGTTCCATATCTGTGTGTGGTTGATGCTTGGTCTGTTTAGGCGGGAGTTGTTGTTGTTAAGTGCCATCTAGTCAGTTCTGGCCCACAGTGACCCTGTATAGGGTTTCCGAGGAGCGACTGGTGACCTTGCACCACCGACGTTGCGGTTCAAACTGACTTTGCAGTCACAGCGCCATGCCAGGGAGAGGAGGTGGGAAATGCTTTCGGTGGGATGGGAGGATGAGACTTGAGAGGAAACTGCACCCGAGCCACCCACAGGGCTTCTGAGCACTTACTTAGCTGTGGTCACCTGGTACCCTGGGTGGCCATGTGAAATCCTGACCCATCCCCTTTACCTCAGAGCCAGAGGTTGTTGGGCTCTGGACTAGGCCCTCAGGAAGAATCCGCCGTGGGAAGTCTGTGGCCACGGCCTTCCTCATTCTGTTTGCTAAAGGGTGTGAGGAAGGGCAAGGTCAGCGACTTTTCATTTTGTCTTCAACTATCAAGACCCTTACCCTTGGCCTCTTTACCAGAAGAAGTAGGCAACAGCCAAAATCCTTTCATGATCCCTTGGATCCTAGAAGAAATTGTGAGTGTTATACTTGCCAAGTGGGCTGAAGAGTCTGAGGAGGGGCAGAGACTACCCCCTGTCTCCTTCCTGTGGGGAGGGGGCAGTGGCTAGCAGCCCACGAGGTGGCCTGCGGTTAGTCTTTCTTATACTGTCTCACTATGTTGGCAGAGGGCCGGGGCTGCTGCTGAACACCCCACCCCCTGCCCGTTGTCTGTCAACACTTAACACTGTGCACTGTTGTCGTCTTGTACCCCCACCCCTACCCCCGCCAATGCTGTCCACACTGTAGCAGGCCAGGATCCAAGACCAGGGCACTTTGCAATATCAATATCAAGTCCCCCAAATGAAATTGTAGGGGAGGGGTCTGTACTATTCAATTGGCAAAAATATTTATTGAGCACCTATTATGCGTGCCATTTGAGGTAAGAGGGCTTGGGCCATTGAAATTCCTAAGCACCACAGGCAGGATTATTTTGTTTCTTTGATTTTTGTTTTTAATATATCTTTATATTCTTAAATGCTTGACTCGTAACAGATGTTCAGTAGACATTTGCCAAGTATGCCAACATTTTGCTTTATGCAAATTTGGATTTCCAATACAGAACAGCTAATTCTAGGTGAACTATCATATACAAGTGTACAACCTTGACTCCTTTATTTATTTTAAGTTTTTATTGTGAATTATGTGATAGTTTACATGGGAAAACATTAGCTTTACATTCAACCTATCTTATTTCATTTCATTGCAATGATTACAATTCCCTGCATGCATCATCAAACAGCCAAAGGGTACGCCCGCAAGTCTGCCCCTCTGTCGTCAGCACACAAACCCTCTCCCTCCCAGAGTCCCCAGCCGCTCCACCTCTCCACTGTTTCTCTGGATAGGGTCCTGCATCCCGCTCTTCTCCCTTGATGGTCCCAGGGTCCTCTGCTCCTGGACTGCAAAGTCAACGACTCCCTTTCTTTTGTTACAAAACATCTACTGTTACGTTTGCAACACTCACAGTCAGTCCTGATAGCAATTATTCATTATTGAACCACAAGAGTTTTATCCCCATCTCCTTTCACCAGCCCCGTCCAGACAACCTTGACTATTCACATTTCACTCCCTACTCCCTACTATCAGTTGATTTGAGGGAGGAAAAAAATTAAACAGAAACAACAGAGAGCCCTATTTTAGACTAAAACTCCTCGTTTCCCCAGATTAATAATTTATATAATAATGAATTCATAATCAGCCTAGGAGTCCTGGTGTGGCGCTGTGAGTCACTGCGTCAGACTGCAAAGTCATTTGAACTGCAAGGTCGGTGGTTCAAGCTCACCAGATGCTCCTTGGAAACCCTATACAGGGTTGCTATGGGTCAGAATCGACTCGACGGCACTTACCACCAACGACAATCAGCCCAGGTTCCTTAAGTATATGAATGATGGATGTTCCGTTGTATTTAAGTGTGCACAGCATGCCACCTGCACCCCAAAATTTCCGAGGTGCTTAATAATTTTTAAAAGACATGAAAGGGAATCTTGGTGAAGGAAAAGTAAGAAAAGCTCTTAAATCCCTGATACACAGCAGTACTTCTTCATTGGAGATGATTTTGAGGACATTTGGCAAGTTTGGAGATGTCTTGGTCGCCATGACTGTTTCTGGCCTCAGTGGATTTGAGACCAGGGATGTTCCTTAAAAAATCCTACAGTGCACAGGACAGCCCCTGCAACAAAGAATGATCTGACTCAAAATGTCAGTAGTGCCCAGGTTGAAAACGCTAATGTCCAGTGTCTGGTGGACTGGGAGTCCCAGTGGTTCTCAGCTGGGGTGGTACCCCAGGAAGTTTGGAAGTATGTGCCGTGACATGTCCTGGGATATGAAGGACGGTCCTTCACAGCAACCAATTGTTCCACCAGTGGCAGCCGTGCTGCTTGCTCCTGACCCTCACTAGGGAGCCCCCCGGATGAGGTGGGCAGACTGCATGTTGGAGAGCCCTGCCTGCTAAGGCTACAGCCTCAGAACACAGACAGCAAAAGCCTACCAGTGGGGAGTAGGGGTGGGGGCTGCTAGCCCCAGGAATTCTCTCTCCCCAGGTCCAGAGTCGTTTGTAAAGTCTTCAGACAGCACTGCTTTTATTTTAAGTGTGCAAGGGTTTCTCAGCCAGACACATTTGACATGCAGATGATCACAGATTTTTAAAGGCTGTTGTCATGGTTTTGTCTCTCAAAGATTGCTATGTGCTGATGAAAGCTTTGAAGTCAGCTCTGGGACCCCAGTCTTGGAGGGCTCAGGATTCCAAATGAGATAAGGAAGCAATCTGAGCATTGTCTGTCCATGGTCTTTCTGCCTGGGCCCAGTTAACCATTTAACTCTACTCTTGATCGGAAATCTGGAGGCCAGCCTGGGTTTTCTTGAGACACTGGGGGAATGCAGTTGATGTTTTTCTACACATGTTCATCCCTGGGGCTCTAGGGGGTAGGGGAAGAGAATGGATCTGTCTTTCTATGTTCAATTTATATGAGGGTTTAAGGATCTAATGAACTACGTTTAGAAGAAACTTTTGAGAGAAGGCGGGGATTTGCCTTAAAAACTGAATGTCAGTGTTATGATTTCAGGGATTTCAAATCGAGTGCATGAAATACGAGGACTCTTATTTCTCAGTTTCATTGTTCCATCAGCTCTTTGAAACTCCCTTGTATGTGGAGTCCCTGAGTGTCTTAAATGGTTGGATCCTGGTGTGTTTGCTGTGGGTTAATGCACTGGACCTCTCCTTGAAAATCCTATAAAGGATTACTATGAGCCTGAACCATCTCAAAGGCACTTAACAACAACAACTCTGCTACTAACCAATAGGTCAATGGTTCGAATCCACTCAGAGGTGCCTTGGGAAATGCCACAACCATTGGGAACCCTACCCTTAGTTCTACTATGAAACACAAAGGGTTGCCAAGACTTGAAATCAATGCAAAGGCAGCTGTTTTTCATTTGAGTCGTGGTGGAACCATGGAGTCAGTTCTGACTGATAGCCACCCTGTATAGGGTCTCCTGGTGCCGCACTGTGGGTTAATGCGCCAGACTGCAAAGCTCTTTGAACTGCAAAGTTGGCGGTTCAAGCTCACCAGCTGCTCCTTGGAAACCCTATACAGGGTTGCTATGGGTCGGAACCGACTCGATGGCCCATAACAACAACAATAGGGTTTCCAAGGCTGTAAGCCTCATTTTTTCCCTCTTACAAGAGCTCTTTTTTTATTTGGGGGAGGAGGGGACTTGTTATTGTTGTTAAGTGCCATCCGTTCAGACTCATAGAGACAGTAAAGGGTCTGAACCACCTTGTGGTTAGCAGTCCAGTGCTTACCTACAGCTCCACACCAGGACTCCAGTTGAGGGAACTTCTGGGAGGGTTCTTTATGGGGGAGACAGTCCTAGTGATGCAAGGGTTAAGGGCTTGACTGCCAACTGAAAGACTGGCAGGTCTTGGAATTTGCCAGCCCTGAGATCTGCTGGCAAGGCTATAATAACAACCTGAGCAGTGTGTCATACATATAGGGTCACTATGAATTGGGATCAACTGGACTGAAATCAGCATTGGGGAGGTGAAGAGGGTGAGGGAGAGACAACAGTGAAATGTCGGGGAGGACCCCACTAAGTCACGTATCCAGTGTGAGGCTGGGCCCAGGATATCCTGTGGTACATTCACCCCACCAGCTCTCTCTTACTATTTCCTGATTAGTCCTTTCTCAGTCACCAGTGGGGTGACTCACACTACAGTGCTCTTAGATCATAGATTTTGCTGGGCAGTGGAGGGGTTGTCTTTTGTTTTGTATTGTTTTGTTTTTAATGAGGGCTTCCACCCCAAGGATGGAAACTATACTCTGAACCATACTTCCACCCCCCCAAGAGAAAATTGGAGCACCCCAAAACATAGGCAGCCTGACTGCTGGGGAGTTAGTGAAAGCCTCCTAACAGCAGGCCGACTGGGGTCAGAGAGGACGGAGCTAGTTGTTAGGGTCTGTGGTTTAGGGGGAGGAGTTGGCATTTCCACTTGGCTGTGACATTTCAGGGACTTGATTTCTATGCCTGGGTTTCACACAGTCTCCTTTCCTCTGCAGACAGAGATCGCGAAGAGACTGAACACCATTTTAGCGCAGATCATGCCTTTCCTGTCACAAGAGGTAAGACCTTTTTTTGTCGCCTTCCTTTTCTTCCTGAAGCACCCCAGTGGCCTGCTGGGTCTCGCTGTAGCTGCAGCCCTCGGTCTAGTCCTGCTTTGGCATAAATGACAGACAGGAGAGGGGCCTAGGATGTGCCGTTCAGGGGCAGGAGACTCAGGTCAAAGGCATTGAAGAGTTCCCTGCCGCCCACCTGCAACCAGTGGGGCTGTGGGTGCCTCCCTCCACTCCACCTAAACCTGCATTCGCAGCCTCTGCTTTTCTGTACCTCTAATCCCCACCCCTAGAAGCATCTGGAAGGGTGAGCAGCCAGTGCCTAGAGCCATGCACGAGGATTACCAATACTAACAGAGATCCCAACCCCCAGACAGAGTAGCCTTGCCAGAGGTGTGACCAAGTGGTCACATTACCTTTAAAGAGACCTTCCAAGTGGCCCCTACTTGTAGCCCAAGGACTGGGTTAGTGGACAGTTTGAGGGAAGTGTCTCAGGGGGCAGGCAGAGGTGGTCATCCTCAGCTCACTCCAGCCTGGACATCAGAGCCTGGCAGGGCTGCCCTCCCACTCGCTGTAGACTGAGTCCCGTGCTGACACGACCACATTACATTGGCTCCTCGCAGCCCTGGGCCTCTGAGACAGAGCCGTCACCTATTAAGTGCTCAACTGGATGTGAAAATGGGATGTGGCCTGTCCACGGCCTTGCCTCCCCGTAGAGGAGACAGCTGAGAAGTGAATGAATGAATGATTAGGTTCCCTCATAGAGAGAATTAAAAAACTGAACTCCTCCCCCCTTCCTCTTTCTTTCCTCTGTTTCAATCTAGAGACGTAAATGTGTTTTTCATTGTTTGCTTTCTCTATATAGTTAGCTATAGATTTGGTATCTAAAGAGACATACATTCCCAATTCCCCTTTTTTTTCTGAACACAGTGAGTGGAAGTTGGAGACATCTTGCCAAATTCACTGCTAACAATTTAGCCACATCCCCAAGAACTGAGGACATTTTCCTACATGATTGTACAACTGTTCCCACATTTAGAAAACAAATGATCATTCCGTAATATCGTCTGATGTCCCACTCACATTTCAAATTCACGGGAAGAAGTTTGAGTGTGTGTGTGTGTGTGTAAGGGAGGTGGTTGGCAGCGAATAGCTGTCTTGCTGCTCATCTATTTCTTTTAGAACTGAAAACAATTAGAAGACAGTTTTGATTACAAAAGTAATACATGCTCATTGACAGAGGTTTAAAGAATGAAAATCCCTTGTCATCTGCCCTGTGGCCGTGAGCACAGCAGTTGTAGGATAGTGGGCCCTCCTGCCGTCTCTTCTGTGGTGGTGGGGCTCTCTGCCCACTGTCCCGAGTGGCCTCCCGGTGCTCCGCAGCCCGCCTGCCGCCTGCCTTGCCCGCCCGCCTGTCTGTCTGGGAAGGTGACCGCCACATCTAACCCACGCCCTGTTCCCTCCAGCACCAGCAGCAAGTGGCACAGGCGGTGGAACGCGCCAAGCAGGTCACCATGACGGAACTGAACGCCATCATCGGGGTACGTGGACTCCCCAGTCTGCCTCTCACCGTGTGTATAGCCCTTTTAATTCCTCTCATTTACGATGACCAGAGATGGACCCTGACCTTAGCTGGCCTCAAAGAATGGCGGCCCCTGGGCTCCAGCTTCCCTAGGCATCTTAGAGACTTGGACCCATTTGGGGCCCTCTCCCCTCAGTGGTTCTCCAGTTGCCTCTCAGCCCCTGATTTAAAGGGGTGCCAGACACCTCCAGTCCACTCTCAACCTCTAAACGCACCACTTAGCTCATCCTTCCCTGGCCTGGAGATAGGTGGGAGCCAGGGCTCACCTTTGTGGCCGGATTAACTGTTCAGAGTACGTGGCCATCTCCTGGAGCTTGTCTGCCCTGCTGCCTGCCCTTCTTTGGCCACCTGGGATCAGAACTGTCTCTGTTGTCCTCTGCTGTGGAATGTGCTGTGGTGTTTGGGGTGGGGCTTTGCTGTCCTGTGCACTGGGCAGCCTGGCTGAGTGCTCATCACCTGTCTTGTGACCTTGAGCCAGAGCACCTTCTGACCTCTCAGAGGTCACATCTCACCTAGGAACAGGGAAAAGTGTCCAAGAATGCTTTTTGAGGTCCACTTCTGGTCTTACATATTCTTCAGCAGAAAGGCGAAGCCAGACCTCTCCCCATTTAGGGCCCCTACTTGACTTGCATCTTTAGAGGGTTTCTTGGGCTCTGATAGCGTTTTCTCTTGCTTCCTTTGACGGGAACCACACACCTGAAGGGAAAAAAAACCACATTTTTTTTCTTCCAGTGTGATATTGATCAAGTTTGTTACCCTGAGGTCTACCTTTCATCCTACAACTGAGTGGGGTTGAGACCACTGGTTCCCAGTCCACAGACAGCTGGGAGTTCTTGAACAATAAAGATCCAAGGCACATGCACCCCACTCTTCTTTCTCTTAGGTTTAGGTGTGGAATGGGGACTCTGTGTTTTGCAGTCTTCCTGCTCATTCTGAAGCATGATCAGGTTTAGGAAGCAGTAGCCTGCTTGGCTGAGGCCCCCTTGATTCATTGGGCCTTCACATTTAGGGATCCTAGTTGAGCGCCATTGTCTTTTTGTTGTGGCGTGGGAACATGATTTCAAGGTGGAACTGAGGGCCACTGGCTATTCTTGTGTTAGGTGTGGTACAGGATGGATCTTGGCTCTTCAGTCTGGGGCAGACCTGTGTTCTTATCCTGGTGCTTTCCCATCTGATGATGGGTCACTTCTCTTCCTTGGGCCTCAGTTTCTTCATCTGTAAAAAGAGAGGATTGGACCAGCTTCTCTCTCTGAGCCTTCTCAACTTTCTCTAGAAATGCTGGCTTAGAGAGATGGCGATGTTTATAGCTAGCAACCCCTCGGGGCCCACGGTGGTCTCAAAGCCCTCTGGGAAAGCAGCCCAGTGGTTCTGTCTTTTTGGTCTTGAGCCCCCGACAGCAGCTGTAAGACAGAAGCATTGGCTTAGTTTCAATTCTGGCAGTGTTGGGGGGAGGAACAGGTCCCCACCTGGAAGGGGGTGCAACAGAGAGGAGTCTGGAATCTGAAACACAAGGAGTAGTGTCCAGTCTGGGAGCCATTGAGCTGGAAGGCAGCCCCCTCCCCCGGCCCACCCCCAAAGGGAATCATAAGAGTGTAAAGTGTGAAGGAGACGCAGCGACATCTGTTGCTGTATGCTGGCTGTCGGTCAATCCCGGTTCATTACCACCCTGTCTGACAGAGTAGAACTGCCCTGTATGGTCTCCTAGGCTGAAATCTTTTCTCAAGCAAATCACCAGGTCACGTAGTCCTCAAAGAGGCTAGTGTGGATTCAAACCTCCGACCTTCCGTTTCGCAGTGGAGTGCTTAACACCTTTGTGCTCCCTTAGAGATCATCCGCCCTGGGTGGCTCAGCCCCAGCACTGTTGACATTTTGGGCTGCATCATTCCGTGTCCTGTGCATCCCCGCATTCCCACTTGTGACGGCCAGTAATATCCATGGAGGTGTCAGTGAGCAGCCACCCAGCTGCTTAGGGGACAGACCAGGCCAGAGACCTCTCACCTACTCTAGTGGGTCCTCTGTCTCAGTGACATTGCTAGTTTGGGGTAGGCAGGGCAGGCCATGCATTGTGAGTGTTGTCCTTGGAAATGTCTCCACTTCTAGCTCCTCCCTAAACCCCTTCACAGAAGTCTTCTTCAGGCTCCCGGGTTGAGCTCCCAACGCCCTCACCTCCCTGCGCCCCTGCAGGACTCAGCAGAGAGAGTCCTGTCTCCCCACTTGCCTACCTCCTTGGAATTAGAATCCTTTTATGAAAATAGCTCCCCCCTCCCCAAGTTTTCTGCAAAGAGTGCCTTTAGGAGAGCGGAGCAGTTTGGATTTGCTCCACTTTCTTTAAGCAGTATTTAGGAAGCTACAAGTTAGGTCACGGCAGCTCGAGGCAGATATTGGAATTCAATTAAAGCCAACGAGTGGGGCCTGTGACCCCCATTTTCAAGGTAATTGCTTCTTGGGCTCTGAGTGAATGCAGCCCATCGCCCTGTCATTAGGCAGACAGAGTCTAATCGCTGTGTGTGACGGAGCCTCACGAGGCAGGAATTGTGGACAGCTGAGGCATGCTCACACTGGGAGCCCTGCTTGACTGCACTCCAGTGAGGGAGAGGAGGGAACCAGCTAATCTAGCTAGACTTTCTGTATCTCCTCCTCCTGAGAAAAGACCAGTAGGATGGAGAAGGCTGGCAGGCTCAGGGCTGAAGAGAAGAGGGGAGCTGCCAGTAAGGGAAGGACCCCAGGAGGTCTTAGCATGACTAGGGGCTGCCCCTGGCCTCCTTTGTGAAGGAATGAGGAAGGACTAGGCAGGTTTCCTGCAGCAGGCTGGCTCTTCTCAGGGGGTTGTGGCTCTCCCGGCCTTGTTTCTGCTCAGCTCACCCTGGACAGATAGTGAACCTGGTGCAGGCATGGATATATTACATTGTTAGCTGTCATCGAGTCGGCCCTGAGATGGTGGAGCGCCGTCCCCATGGCAGTTGTAGATTGGACCATTTTGATCCATGGATTATCTTATTTTTTCAAAATAATAGCGAATTGTGTTTTTGGTGAATGTGTGTGCAGCAAATTAAGCTCTTGTTTGACTGTATACAAATCGTGCAGTGACATTCGTGACATTTTCCACAATGCGCCAACATTCTCCTTATCTGGGGTGCCCCTTTCCCTGGCCCCCCTTTATCTTCTTTTATAATCCGTGGAGTTTTCACGGGCTGACTTTTGGAAGTAGACCTTAGTCTGAAAGGTCCGCAGAAACCAGTGCAACAGCATCATAGCAATACAAACGGCTCCACTGACCGATGGTGGTGGTTGCCCATGAGGTGCACGGGCCGGGACATGAACCTGGCTCTCCTGCTTGGAAGGCAAGAATTCTACCACCAAACCACCACTGCCTGAGGACATGGATGTAGCTTGTGGACTGTATATCTCTTGGATGAGAGTATTTCTAGGGTCTTCCTGGTGAGAAAGACCAGGCTTCAAGGTCAAGGTTGGCATGTTGGGATGGTGGAAGGAGAGACGGAGGGAGGCCAGGCTTGCTGGCTAATCCCACCCCGCTTCCTTGATGGTCTGCAGGGAACTCAAGTTTTCCTATAAGCAAGATGGGCCGAAGACCTGCCAGGACTTGATACTGTAGGCTGTCCACCCTTCCTTCTTACATCCAGACTCTTGAGGCATGTTTAGTGGTATGAGAGTTATGGGGTTGTTGAGCTGGTAAGTGGAGGGAATAAGTATAGCCCTCGTTGTCTGTTTCCTTGGAGGTCAAAACCAGCTCAAACCAAACACATTGCCATGGAGTTGATTCCGATTCACAGCGACCCCTAGGACAGAGTAGAACTGCTTCCTCGGGTTTCCAGACTGTCAAGCTCATCTTTCTCCCTCGGAGCCTCTGGTGGGTTTGAACCGCTGACCTCACGGTCAACGACCCACTTAACCCACTGAGCCACCAGGGCGCTCCCTCTTGGAGGCCAGGATGTGTACATTTTGTGCAGTTAGGTCCTTGTCTCTGCTCGGAGCCCTCAGGGGGTCAGGCTCTGGAAATGCTGAGCTAACATCACTAAAGTGTCATCCATGCGGTGAACCTAAGAACTGAACCATTAAATCCGCCCGAAGAGGCTGAAAGCGTGATGTGCCTAATCCAATTACACATGCTCTGCAAGCAAGATCCTCCCGGCGGCCCCTGCTGTGTGTGGTGGCACCTTCTGAGCTCAGGCCCCGGGCACTTGGCACACCCGTGGAGCAATGGGGACACATGTCTGCCCTGTGGGCACGTTCTGGGACATGCTTGTGCCTGGCATGAAGTTGTAAAGGAGGGCACAGTGAGCACTTGTGGGGTAACTAGATCCTCTATTGGGGCTGGGAGTGGGGAGTGAGTTGTCACCTTCCTTTTGGATCATTGAGAAATCCTGGCATTGGATGGGATAGTAGGAACAGGAGACAGGCATTGGCCAAGCTGTGAGTTCAGGGCCCTCCGCAGTCTGTGAATTGAGTTCATCTCTCCCCATGGGGGAGAGCTCCCCATTTGAAAGCACTGTTACCCTCCCCCACTCAGATGTCACTGTGTTTCAGCACATCGTCCTCTGAAGCCAGGGGACATGTCGTGGGCATGGCAGCCGTTCGGGACGGGTGAAGAGAAAGGAGCTCAACTTCCCAGGGAGTGGAAAGCAGCCTGAGGTGGCTCTGCCAGCGGAGGGGCTTCGGCTGGTGACACGGGGACCGCAGGCCAGCTGGACCGTTGCTGGTTGTCTCCCTCTGCTCCGCCAGGGAGAATGACTGCCGCCAAGACTGTTGTTAACAGGCCTTCCACCCAGCAACTCCTGTCGTGGGGATGGTCCCTTCTGTATCTGCTTCCCCGAGCCTGTAGGGCCAGCCTTAACTGGACCTTCAAACTATCTACAGCAGACTGCGGGGGAGTTTCTGGCTGTACAGTGGGATCACGCTTGGACTTGAGAACCTCGTCATTTTTGCATGGAAGATTCCTTTCCTCTGTTGCAAAGAGGGTGTTCCTATGTGACTGGCTACAGCAGAAAAGCCAACAGTTCTGGAAGCACACCAGCACTGAAAGCCACTGTTCTCCAAGCAGCCGATGCTGTCTTTTGTCCCAAGTTTTTGATGCTGGTTAACTGGTTCGGATATCATGGAAGCTGAACAGCCTAACTGCCCTAGCTGTGTCTGATTGGTCCTAATCATGTACAGTTCCTGGGCCCTAGAGGGGAGGCATGGACCAGGGAGGCAGGTGATTGTCTTGGAATGACCAACGCTGCTGCTTCTATCCCAGCTTCTCCCTGCACACCTTTTCCAACATTCTCTCTTCTTCACCCAGCAAACCCGTACTGAGCCAGCACTGTCAGGCATCTCAAGGTGCTAGGATGGATAAGATTAGGTCCTTGTCTCCCTGGAACTTAGAATCTCTAGGGTATGTGTCCCACAAAGATGAAAGAAATGTGGGCCATATTTGTGGTCTAGCCACGGTATTTGCTAACGCTGCTGCAGAATTTACTTTGCCTCTCCATGCGGGCGTGCATGTGATTGGTACTCAGCCCGAAGACGGGCTCTGTCTTCACCTCTGTCTTGCAGACGAGGTGACTAAGCCCAGAGGGGTCCAGGACTTTTCTAAGGTCTCATTGCTGATAGGGCATAGAGTTGTAAGTCTACCCCGAAGCTGTCTGGCTCCAGCATTTGGTCTGTTAGAGCTGTTTTCAGGAGGCATCAATGCATTCTGTTCTGGAAGATAGAAGGGGTTTCCCAGAGGACATGGTTTTTGAACTGAGCAAGGTGTTGAGCCTGGTAGAGTGGGAAAGGAGACCTTACCTGGGAAGGTAAGAATAAGGCTGGTGGAAATTACTCACTTACGTCTTTCTTTGGGTAGACATCTTCAGTCAGTCTTCCTCCTCGAAAGGGAATAGTTCATGGGAGGAGTAAGTGGTACGCCTGGTAATCAAGGAATTAGTACAAGCTACTTCTTTGGGGTATTTGAGCTCCTCCTCCTCTTCCTCTTCGTTTCCTCAAGAAACCTCACTGGCTTTACACTTTAAAAAGTGGTTGAAGTACCCCAGTCCTTGTTTGGGGGGAGGATTTTACTGAGTAGTTACCACTGGCAGAATGACCTAGAGAAACTAGGCTAAGTCCAAAGGGCCTCCGCTGGAGACTCACTGTGAGTGTGGACACCTAGATAGATTGTTATGGTCCAGCCACACCAGAGGACACAGGATCCTGTGGCCATTAGGAGAACAAGTTGGTTTCTTTGTTTTGATCATTCTTATTAAAATCAAGCTGCAAAGCAGTATGGTGAACAAGAGCACATTTGTGTCAAAACACATCCATTTAAAAATTGGGGATAAAAATGACGTAATTCACTCAGGATGTCCATAGAAGAAAATCGAGGCAGGTTCACAGTGCTAGGGTGAAGGGTGATTTAAAAATAAATGTAAAACCTGTATTTCTCTTAAACATTTTTTTTTCTTACAATGAGCATGTACTATTTTTGTAATAAGCTATTAAAAAGTTACGTTTTCTTTCAAAAGAAAAGGTGTAGGAGCTTAGGTGTGAGGTGTCATGAGGGGCGCCTTGGCTGGGCGGGTTTGGGGTTTGGCAGTGGACTTTCGGGGAGACACGAGGCCAGCATCCATCGGCAGCACCTATAGAGTGTCCTGGGGGCTGCAGTGCCTTGAGACAGCTTTTCCGTGTTAGGAGCTCAGAGGTGGCCCCACAGCGGCACTTTAGGGTGGAGACTGAGTGATCAGTTTGCAACTTAAGTGGGAGAGACCAGGACCCTTAACTCCTGATCCCAAACACTTACCCCCAGAACTGTGCATCCCCTTCCCTGGGTTCTGTTGTCTGTTATTAGCAGCTGCTGGGAATCTTGAAGCACAAGGGCCACGTCTTTACTCCACACCCCCCACTTCTCCCAATTCTCCCACCACTCTTCTTGCTTGGGGGTGGGGGTTCCTTAGGACCAATCTCTGGAGGCATGGTGGGTGGCTGACAGAACTGAGTCCAAATTGTCACTCACTAGTGAAGGTACTTACTTACAGGAGAAAGATGAGGTTTTCTGCGCCCGTAAAGAAAAACTCTATACAGGGCTGGAACCGACTCTACAACTCTTAACAAAAACAGTGGTACATGGCCAGGTCCTGACTACCCAAGGCAGCTCCCTCAGCCTCAATTTATTGCTCATAAAATGGGCACAATACCACTTGCAAAGTGTCCAGGCGCTCACGTAGGCCTTCCTTTGTGCTAGTTGAGAAGAAAGACAGACATGTATATGGCAGAGAGAAGCGTAGCCCAGGCTCTAGGCACTCCTAAGAAATATTTCAATCCTGGAGAAATACTAGCTGCTCTGTTGCCTGCCCCGTTACGCCCATGGGTCTTGGTACAATCTCAGGAATGCTAAAGGACGTCCTTCTGCCCTGGCTGCAGGAGGGTGATTTTGGATGTGGGAAGGGGAGGGGGAAAGAGGAGAACCTGAGGTTAGTGTTGGGTTATGGTCTCGGGTCCTCTGGATTGGGGATGGGGAAGACGCAGGACTCCTGTTATTGTTGATGGGTATGATAATAATGAGTTAATGCACATCAACATTTTAGAACACTGTAAACCATTTGTAGATATCAGCTGCTATCATGAGCACTTTTAATGAGTAGTCATGGATCCCAGGGCCTCTTACAGTATCTTGCAGTAATCCTCAGATAGATGCTACCTGTCCCCTTTTACAAATTAAGCTCATCTGAGGTTCACGGAGGTGAAGGAACCCGCCCAAGGTCCCACAGCTAATGAGAGCCAGAGCTGGGATTTGAATCCTGGTTTCCTTTCCTCCATTGCTGCCTCCACTGCCTACCATGGCTCTGTTCTCCACACTGATGCCCAGTGGTCTCAGCTCTCATTCCACTGCCCCCCTCTGTTAGGACCCACCCCAGCTGTAGTAAACCAGGCCGGGAGTTTCTCAGAATTAAGGGTGTCTGCCCAGGGCACGGCCTCGGGGTGGGAGATGCTGGCTGCTAAATTTTCAAGGCATGTAAGCATGAACAAACAGGGATTTCTAGGAGCTTAAACATGGGTCTCCCTGAACTGATCATGTGACCGATGCATGCATTGTTTATCTTGGACTTGGACGTATATATGAAGAAATCCTCTTCTCCCAAAACTGGGAGGGTGGTGGTAGAGTATTTATAGGCATAAATCTGGTATCTAAATTGCAGTCCGTTAACAGACCGTTCCTTCAGCAAGACAAGCAGAGGGTAAAGGTTTTAGGGCTGTGACTCCCTGTTGCCTGATGCAGGGACCAGGGGGGTGGCCCGGGTGTCTCTCTGGCCTCTTGTGCTCACAGCCAACTTCATTGCAGCAACAGCAACTCCAGGCGCAGCATCTCTCCCACGCCACGCACGGCCCCCCGGTTCAGCTACCACCCCACCCGTCGGGCCTCCAGCCTCCAGGGATACCCCCAGTGACGGGGAGCAGCTCAGGGCTGCTGGCACTTGGTGCCCTGGGCAGCCAGGCCCACCTGACAGTGAAGGACGAGAAGAACCACCCTGAACTTGACCACAGAGGTGCGGCCCAGGACTGGGAGAGAGGGTGGACTGCACTGGGCTGGGCTGGGCTGGGCGTGGGGGTCCCATCGTGAGTGGACACAGCAGACATACCACTCTAGGACCCGGAGTTAGCAGAGACCTCGGGCTGAATCTCTGACACACGGAAACCGCTGACCCGTCCTGCACCCCTGACCACCAATCTTTGATGTTTACCCAGTGTTCTCTGTCCAGAATTATTCAGCCCGCCTCCTTAGCTACGTACCCACATATGCTTCAAGGCTCAGTCCCTGTCCCACCCCTTTGAGATACCTTTCTGGCCAGACTGGAGGACTTAACTCAGATTCCCGTAGGAGTTTAAGGGGTGTGTTCCCATGCCTGAGCCTCCTTATTTTCTGAGGGTACGTGTCTCACCCACATAGGAATTGAACAAAGGTATACAGTTGGTGCTCCCGTAAAGACTTGATAGTGAACTCCTTCTCAGTGAAGAAAGCAGGAAGGTGATTAGAAAGACTTGGAGTCAGAACTTTGCCCCCACCCCTCCTACACACACTTACCACAAGGATTCTGGATGTTGGCACCAAGGAGGGGCTCAAGGGTTGAGAAGATCAGGAAAGGAAAGGGCCTGGATCCTTGGCAGACCCCTTTTCCAAAGGATGTGCTACCTTGCATATTTTACCCTATAGAGCCGGGGGCTCAGCAGATGCCTCCCAAGCCTCCCTGTGCACCCAACCTTGGGCATCGCATCAGTGGCGCATCCTCATCCTGCCTGGCCCCAGGACAGTAGCATGTCTTGGGGACGGGAGGATACATTTTTGTGTGCTTATATAGGATAGTCCCCTTGGCTTGTGTCGTGAGGCCTTCCCGACATCAGACAGGGAGCTAGTGTTCGGCTAACAAATAATCAGAAGCCCAGATTCCAGGGTTTTCCTGGTGAAGCAGAGGCTTGTTAATTCAACAGTACTTTGTTAAAAAGGCTGAACTAAAAATACTCCCAATGCCCCCCCGCACCCCCAGTAAATGTCATAACTCCTAGATATTACAGGTCCTTTGCATAGTATGTTCCCTCCCAAGCTTGAAGCTTTAAGAACAACCCTGTAAGTGGACTTGGTGCCATGTTTGGCATGTCCCGGAGAGCTGGGCCAAAGGCCTGCCACCCCCAGGGGACATTGGAATCTGGATGGTTAATTTCCAAGCTGAGAGACTTCACTTAATGTCCCTGCCTTGGCTGACCCGCTCGACTTAGGGAGCCCGGCCTGCTTGCCCGTTTCCAACCCAGTGAACGAGCAAAAGCACAAAAGCCAGCTGAACCTGGACTCAATCTCTCCCTTTCTTTTTTGTCTTTTTTTTCGCTTGGGGGACTTGACCCTCCTCCTGACCTGGTCTTTCTGCCTCAAAGAGAGAGAATCGAGTGCGGTGAGTAATGAGCCCATGTGATATGTTTGGGGGGACTGGGAGGGGTAGGGGAACTGAGGGCTCCTGACCTGGCAGCTGGCTCCCAGAACTGCCCTGGATTCTTTGTTGTGGTTCATAGGGGGAGGCATTTGTTTATTTGTACCCAGAGCCAGGAGTTGGTGATGAAGCTTTGATCCAGACTTGGAGAGTGGGGTTGCTGTGACCAGTGCAGAATGACCTTGGGTGACCTTGGGCTGGGGGGAAGTTCGTACTCTCAACCTTTGGTACATCATTTATCAAATGAAGAGCTGAATGATCCCTAACTCCCTTTTATAAAAGAGATGATTAGCCAAAGAGGTCAGCTGGCCAGTCCTGCTGCTGCCAAGAGAGTTTGTGGAATCACTGGACCCCGGTCTCCCACGTCCCTGGACTGAAATTTTCACTCCACCCTCCACACTTGCCTCTTCATGAGCCTGTATTCTCCTCAGTTCCTCTGAACTCCTGAGACAGCTCCCTGCTCTGGGCTTTAACTCGGTTTAGGAAAGTACTAGTAAGGGAGCTTGAAGGCCAAGCCGCCTGCGTGTCTGCCAGCTCCCGAGATTTGCTGTAAATCTTTCTGATCACACTGAGGCTCAGAGGTTCTGTTTCAAGTGAATAAGCTTTTTGAATAAGCACGGTGGAAGCTGGATAAAAAAAATCCTCCAGCGATTAGCAAAGCTATTTTATTTCTCATCGCCATCCTTGTATCTTGGGCCATCTAATCTTTTAGGAGAGCTTTGGTTATTGCCTGGTGTTAACTAGGACCTGGAAGGTCAGGGAGTTAACGAACCATCTCAACAGCCTCTTCCTAGGGCACTTCCCCTTCATCCCAACCTACCTTCCCTTCCGAGCCCTTCACACAGACTGACTGTTTATAGTGATGCTCAGAAATGTAGGCTCACATTTGGGGCCTGGAATGGCTGGGTTCCTAAGAAAGTACTCACTGGAGGGGAAAATCCATTTTGAATGTTTAAGAGCTGATCCTCAAGTGTTGACCTTTTTGAAGAGGTGGCTTGCAGAAGACCCCTCAAAGCTTAGACCTGACCCTAGCCCTGTGGGCCAATGGGTAACTCCATTGCTCGCAGAGCCTCCTTGTTGTTAGGTGCAGTTGAGTCAGCTCTTGGCTCCTAGAGACCCACACATGCTGAGTAGAACTGCTCCCGAGGGTTTCCTAGGCCTGTCTTCACAGGTACCTGAGTGTGGGTACAAACTGCCAATTTTGGCTCATAGTCAAGCACCTTAACCGTTCACATCACCAGGGATGTCCTTTTTTTAAAAAAAAATGTTTTATTGTGAATTATGTGATAGTTTACATGGGAGAACATTAGCTTTACATTCATCCTATCGTTTATCGTTTCATTGCCATGGTTACAATCCCCTCCATGCATCATCAACCAACCACAGGGTATATACCCTGCAAGCCTGCACCCCCGCCCACCCGGTCGTCAGCAGACAGCCCCTCTCCCTCATTGTGTCTAAAGTCCCCAGCTGCTCCATCTCTCCACGTCATCGTCTCTGCCTCCATCTCAGGCATCACTACTTCTCTGGGTAGGGTCCCACTCTCCACTTTTCTCCCTTGATGGTCCCAGGGATCTCCTTTCATCAGTAACGTGAGGAAATTCCTGCCCAGCCAACCTCTCGGCTTTGTTGGGGAAGACCCACTTAGAAGAACAGGACTCGGCATCCAGGAGGTCCACGTGGTTAGCAGTGACTGACCACAGAGTGACATCTTCCTCCTCATCATTTCTATTTACTCTCATCTCTGCGTCCCAGTCTGTGAACACTTTATGCCAAAAGAAACCTTCAGAAAGTCCCCAAGCTGAGATCTCTGCCTCTCTCCCTGGTGTCTTTGCATAGCAACCTCCCAGAGCAGGTTCTTAGAGAATGTGATGTGAATGAGTCTGAACAGACAGACAGCATCCTGGCTGGGGCGGCCGGCTACCCGGACCAAGTGCCTGTGGCCTTGGAGTCGGAATGGGTGTAGACTGAAATCCCCAGCCCTCTGGAAACCAGGTTGTCAACAGATGAGACCACAGCAGGAAGGACAGGGCTCTGTCGGAGCGGGAGGGGGCTGGTGGAGGGGCTGGAAGTGGTCCCGGAGGGGTTAGTCTGGAGTCTAATTAGAGGTAGCTTCATTCATATTTCCTTGCCTAGCTGAAGCAATAAAAAATACTTAGTTTTTTGGCTGCCTGCCAGGCAGAGGCGAGCTGGATCGATGCCGCTAAATGCCTGACATAAAATGCCTGACATGACTCGCTGGTAGTGGCAAGGAGAAGAAAGAGCCCCCTGTTCTCCGAGCCGCGGACCAGGTCTTGAGGAGAAACTCCAGCCGCCGCTCGCCCCCCTTTCTGCCCGCCTGCCCAAGAGGGGCTGGAAGCATTTCTGCTTAGCACGGGGTGGCCGCCACCGTGGGAGGAAATGAAATGAAATGACGGTGATTTTTCTGCCGGCGCTTGCAGCAGCTAATTGAATTGCGGCTCTGCGCCCATCGCCGCGCTCCTGCATGGCTGTGGGGAAGGTTGAGCAGCAGTTCTATTATAACCTCCATTTTTTCTTCAAGGCTTGATAACTCTGCCATTTTAATTTGCTCCAGGCAGAAACTTGGCAGGGAAGGGCTGCTCAGAAGCCGGCTTAGGAAAGGAAATTAAGTTCTGTGGCTGGTGCCCGCACCCGTCCCTCCAAACAAACCGCTCTGTGGCTGGCCTACCTCATGACCTTTTCCTTCCCTGAGCCAGAATGAAACACCTCTTGGCAACCCCATGTGTCAGAGAAGAACTAAGGTTTTCATTGGCTGATTTGGGGGAAAGTAGATGGCCACGCCTTTCTTCCAAGTTGCCATTGGGTGGTCTAAAACTGCCAACTTTTTGTTTAGTAGCTAACAGCCCAGACTTAACCGACTGCACTGCCCCCAGAGACTCCTGAGCCAGCAGTGGAGTCGGACACAATGGAGAGAAGGAATACGTGAAACTTCATCCTACCTGCCATACCTCCTCAACCCTCACCTCCTTGGGGTTTTGTTGTTGTTTAATGTTTAATTGTGGATTGAGTGAAGATTTACAGAGCATATCACCAGTTGTCTATTCAACTATTCATACGCACTTTGATGTGTTTCATCCCACTGATGACAGTCCCCATAATGTGAGATCGCTTAGTCCAGTTCCTGCCTGGGTTTCCTGTTTCCATTCCTCCTCCTTTCCCAACCCTTCTGAACTTGATCCTCAGGCAAATGCTGCTCTTGGTGATCTCAGATGGTTGATGATACTAAAGTGCGAGTTTCTCCTTAATGGTGTCGTTCCCTTTATAGACCTGGCGACTGTTTGGCTGAAAATTGAGCCATGGGGGGTGACTTAATTTCCAGACCTGAAGGGGGCCCGGGACCAGGGGCCATAGTCTCAGGGGTCCCCCTGCCTCGTTCTGATGCCCTCCCCTTCTGCAGAGATACCCCTCTGTGTGTCTGCTTGGCGTCCATGGTGCCTGGGGCTGGCTGCTGGGCCGACTTTCCTTCCCTCCAGCTAGACTGTAAGCTCCTAGAGGCTGAGTCTACCCTGATGTCCAGCACAAGTTCTGACCGGGCAGGTGCTCAGACAGTGTGGAGGAGGGATAACTGTGAATGAATGATGAAGGTGTAGGTTGGGCTCTAACAAAGGAGTAAACCTCAAGAGGGTTTTAAGGGGGGCATTGCTTCAGGCTTGTGTTTCCTGGTGCCCCTGCCAGTAGCTGCTTCCTCCCTGTGCCCAGTCTGGGAGTTACGACCACCTAGTGTGTGCTGTCCCTGGTCACAGCAGCTCCTGCCTCAGCTGTTTGAACATGTTCCTTATCCCAGGTCTCTGAACCTAAATCCTCTTCGTCCTCTGTCTTATAGTTGGAGGGAGAACTATCATTAGGCTCTTCCTGAGAAATGGGTGGCCCTGGTGTTGCCTCCTTTCCTTCAGAGGGAGGAAGAGGCTTCAAAATGGTGCATTTCATCTCTTCGCAACCCTGGCGTTTCACTAACATGGGCCAGAGCCACACAGTGGAGTCGGGTGTTGGTACAAAACGCCAAGTTGCTGTTCTGTGTGTAGGAATTCCCTCTCAATCACCTGTTCTTCTTGGGTCCAGCAGACAAAGTACTGCTCACGGCCCCAGTGTGTGGGCTCAGATCCATCTTCCAAGACTCGGGGCTGGGGGTGGGGCTTCCACTTGCTCCTTCTTTGAGCCTTGTGCCTGTGGATGAGATACACGTGGCCCCCGACCTATTGCGGCACATTGCATCACAAAGCTGGTGATGATTATCAATGGCATTGTGTCTGAAGATAGTGAGGATGCTGGGGACAGCTTCCAGGGAGCCTAAATCTGGGGATCTGGGCAAGCTGTGCTTGGGCCAAAATCTGCAGAAGACCTGGGAAGTGAGATTCTCTCTCCTCATTGGACAGCTGTGCCCCTAGCACGTAGCTGTGTCTGTCTGTGTGTGAATGACAGCACTCAGCAGTAGATTACCCGAATCCCCTTCTTGCTTCTAGAACAACTTGGTGTCACCGTCGGAAAGCCTGCGGGCTAGTGAGAAGCACCGGGGATCCACAGACTACAGTCTGGAAGCCAAGAAACGGAAAGCAGAGGAAAAGGACAGTCTAAGCCGATACGTACGTCTGGGTGTGCTGGGCACGACGGGCGGGCCACAGGTGGTCAAGGAAGGCGGGGGCTGACGGAGCCTTGTCCTCACATTGTGGACCTGGGGTTGTCCCACCATCACAGGGCATGAGAATGGCTGTTGGGTCCTTCCATACACAGGCCAACAACCCCAGCTTGCTCCGGGAGCTGCCCTGTGTCTACAGACCCCTGTCTATGTGCACCCACTGGGTCACCCAGGCCCCTAGACACAGACTTTCACTTAGACTATGACACCCTCCTGCACGTGAGGCCCGGTGTTTTCTGCCCTATTGGGTAGCATCGCCCATGTGGACGGTGGTCTCTCATCAAGCCCAGCTTCACACATATTACATGCTGAACCCTCAGCTGCGCGTTTGTGAGATGCGCCTAGTTGTCCGCACCCCTGCCATCAAAAAGAGATTATTGCATACTTTCTCGTGGAAAACGAACAGCATAGGAGTGAGAGAAGTTTCTGGCTTCTGAGAGACCAGTTAAAGGGTAGCCTGTGGGGCTGGGGCTTAGAAATGTGATTGTGGGGCAGGTGTGTGGGAGGCTGCCAAGGGGTGTGGAGCGAGGAACCCAGGGCTGGGAGCCTGGTTGGGGACCCTCCCTGACTGGCAGGAAGGTGACTTGGAGCCGGTGTGGCGCTCACTGGAGGGCAGAGGGGTGGAGTTAGAAAGCACATGCACGCTGGGGTGGGGCCTGGTATGGGAGGGGAGACTAAGTCCTCTCACTGACCATTCGGCTTCTCTCTGGCTGCAGGACAGTGATGGGGACAAGAGTGATGATCTCGTGGTGGATGTTTCCAATGAGGTAAGGGCAGGTCTGCCTGCGCGCAGGCCCTAAGGTGGGGAGGGTCGTGTCTCCTGGTCTCTGGGCCACGGGGTCCCTGGGATGCTCTGTGAGAGATCCCAGGGTGGGTTATAACTCTGCTGCCCATGCTCCTCTTGTGGTCTGGAGCAGGGAGGGCTGTGGGCTTGGGCCTCAGCTTCAGGAGAGCAGGAAATGCTGGTGAGAACCTATACCAAGCCCAGGAGCCCAGCCCAGCCACCTGGAGTTAAAGTTCTGGCAACAGGGAACTTGCTTGTGATCTTCAGCAGAATACAGTCTCCCATCTATGGAATGGAGGGATCAGATGTGAAGAACTGCCCGTCTTGGCGCCATGCAGCCCAGCCCCCAGAGCAGGGATGATGTCACCAGTCTTTGAGCCCCGCTCCCATCCCCAGAGCAGGGACGACGTCACCAGTCTGGTTGTTGCTTTCAGTTACCTCTCTCAACATCATTTTGTGTTTTTAGGACCCAGCGACGCCCCGGGTCAGCCCTGCACACTCTCCTCCTGAAAACGGGCTGGACAAGGCCCGTGGCCTGAAAAAGGACGCGCCCACCAGCCCCGCCTCGGTGGCCTCTTCTAGCAGCACACCTTCCTCCAAGACCAAAGACCTTGGTCATGTACGTGGGGTCTGACCCTGGAACCGCAGAGGTTGGGGGAAGACATGGGCAGAGATTTTGTTCCTTCCCAGAAAGTTCCTCAAGGCCTTGTCAGGGGCAAGCCGGGAGTGGTGTGGAAGGAAACTTGGGTTTGGGACAGGGGCTGGGGTAGTGCTTATTGTAGGGCAGAGGGGTGGAGCCGTAAGAATGAAGAGTTGGGGTGTGATCCAAGTGCAAATTCTGGCATTACCACCTCCTGGCTGTGACGCCACAGGTCAAGAGTAGAACTACCCCACAGGGTTTCCGACGGTGCCATTTTTGTAAGTGCAGATCACCCCATGGAGCTACTGGGTGGGTCTGATCTACCTTTCAGTTAGCAACCCAGTGCTTAACCATTGCGCCACCAGGGCTCTAGGGCCCTGTGCCAGCTACAGCTGTTTAACATTGCTGAGCCTTGGCTGCCGCATCTGTAAAATGGGGTTACAGTCCCTGTCAAAAAGCTTGGACAAGGACCAGGAGCCTAGTGGGCAGAGAAGGCTCCTAACAGGATCGCAGATGTTCCGGTGGCCAATGCGCAGCTCTAGGGAGAAAAAAATCTTCACAGCGCATGGTCGCTGCATCTTCCCTTTTCAGAATGACAAATCCTCTACCCCTGGGCTCAAGTCCAACACGCCAACCCCGCGCAACGATGCCCCAACTCCAGGCACCAGCACGACCCCTGGGCTCCGGTCGATGCCGGGCAAACCTCCAGGCATGGACCCGCTAGGTATAATGGGTAGGCATGAGGGAACTTTTTGTGGGGGCTGGGGGGGATCCACCCAGACAGAGGGAGTGTGAGTGAGGTGGGACAGTTCTCAGGGAGGGGTTGGGGGGATCCACCCAGACAGGGAGGGGTTGGGGGCGCTGAGGGGGGATCCACCCAGACAGGGAGGGTTTGTGGGGGCTGGGGGGGATCCACCTAGACAGGGAGGGTTTGTGGGGCCTAGGGGGCGGTCCACCTAGACAGGGAGGGTTTGTGGGGGTTGAGGGGGGATCCACCTAGACAGGGAGGGTTTGTGGGGGCTGGGGAGGGGATCCACCTAGACAGGGAGGGTTTGTGGGGGCTGGGGGAGGATCCACCCAGACAGGGAGGGTTTGTGGGGGCTGGGGGGATCCACCTAGACAGGGAGGGTTTGTGGGGGCTGAGGGGTGGAATCCACCTACACAGGGAGGGTTTGTGGGGGTTGAGGAGGTGATCCACCTAGACAGGGAGGGTTTGTGGGGGCTGGGGGGGATCTATCCAGACAGAGGGAGTGTGAGTGATGTGGGACAGTTCTCAGGGAGGGTTGAGGAAGAGAAGTGGAAGCCGGTACGTTGACACTGATACTAGGGGCAGGCAGGTGTCCAGGGACAGGCCAGGACACTGTTCTGCTCCTGCTTCAGAACCTGCCAGAGCCCTCCTCGGCCCCTGTGGCCTGCTCTGTAAAAAGGTGGGCACTTCTCCCAGCCCTAACCTTCATGGGCCGTGAAGCCAGGCATTCTGGGAGGGTGTTCAATCAGAGGCCTTTTCTGGACTGGGCAGCGTTAGAATGCAGGAAGGACTCCTGGATGGGGGCAGGGCCCACTGCACTGACGCCCGCCTCCCCGCAGCCTCCGCCCTGCGCACTCCCATCTCCATCACCAGCTCCTACGCGGCACCCTTCGCCATGATGAGCCATCACGATATGAACGGCTCTCTCACCAGCCCTGGTGCCTATGCCAGCCTCCACAACATCCCCCCGCAGATGAGCGCAGCTGCAGCCGCCGCCGCCGCCGCCTATGGCAGATCGCCAATGGTGAGCTTTGGAGCTGTACGTAGACCTTTTAGCTCCTTTTGGGGGGTGGATTGGATAATGATCGGGGAGTTGGTGGGATCTGAGTGGCCCTCTCTACTAAAGGGGGGACCCTTAGTGAGGGGCCACAGCTAGGCAGCTCTCTCTATAGAGAGTATTTAAGAGCCAGTGGGGTTTAGCTGAAAAGCACACCTGCATCAGACGGAGCTCGTTCCCAGCTTGCCTGCTGGTGGCCATGGTACCTCCCAGGTGCCCGCCCTGACTAGCCCTACCAATCTGGGAAATGGGCTTGATTCCTGCCTTTCCTTGCTTTTCTGGGGGCAGAAATCCCAAGATGAGTGAAGTGTTTGGTAAATGGGGGCCTTGCTTTAGTATTAGTGAGAAATAGCTAGGGCTTGGGTCTGCATGTGACAGGACCCCCGGGGAGGAGGAGGAGGCAGGACCGCCTCTATTCTGCAGAATTGGGAGAACTGGAGTCGAGGGCTCTGCAATCTCACCTCAGCCCTGCCACTGTCTGGGCCCCTGTTCACGGTGGCACAGTGTGCTGGCCTCGGCTCCTCTGCCTCCCGGGTGTCTCCATAGCTCCCTGGAGCGGGGCGGGGAGCTGACTGCGGGGTGGGGGGAGGGTACGGTGGCATCTCTGGGTAAGGGCTGGCCTTGTTTTGCCTTCCAGGTTGGTTTTGACCCCCACCCCCCCATGCGGGCCACAGGCCTGCCCTCCAGCCTTGCTTCCATTCCTGGTGGAAAACCGTAAGCTTTGGCTTTATTTGTTGCATGCTCCTTGGGGCAGGAGGGGAATAGAGGGGAACACATACCCAGGACCTCCCCAACCCCCTACCACAGGCTTGCCCCGCTGGACTTCCTTGTGGGGCAGATGGCCTCTGCTCTAAGACTCTCTCAGACCAGGTTCCAACCCAGCAAGCAGCTGCCTAACCCCACTCTAAGGGTGTGGAGGATGTCTGAGAGTCCTGGGGACTGGGCAGTAGGCACCCTCAGCTGCCTTGAACCTGGTGCAGCTGCTTTGGGTTCACCTGCTGAACATGGCCCAACACACCTGCTCCTCAAATGCCTCCTCTCCTGGAGAACCTGCTCCCTCCTATGCCCCTCCCCTCCTCGGTGGTAAAGATGACAAGATGGAGCCGCTGCCTCCCGCTGAGAACAGTGCCTGACAGTTACATGTTGATAGATTGTCCTCACTCAGAATCTTGACATTATTACAGAGGGTATCCACGGTAGCTTCAAACAGCAGGCCAGCCAAACCGGCTCCCCACCGGCTTTGATGAAAACACGGCATTCATTTTTGGAGGGGCAAGCAGCTTTCCTATGTAATCTCATGAGCTGCGACTAGGTATCAGCGAGTTGGTATTTGGACCCTCAGTGGCTCTAAAGGGAGGCATGGCATCAGCAGTGGAGGTCAGTGGCAGCATTAGAGGCCAGAGCTGTAACCCCACCTCCGAGTCCCCTGCTGTGAGCAGAGGGCATTGCTGGCTTCGTCGTCTTCTCCCAGGCGTGCAGGGAAATGGCCCTATATGAGCTGTAGATGAGGGTGCTCAGAGAACAGACGTGCCTAGTTGGGGCCCTTGAGGCCCAAAAGCCAAACCCACTGATTTATTATGATCCTCTGTGGGGTTTCCGAGACCAAGTATGTAACAGAGACAGCGTCACCCTTTTTCCCATAGAGCAACTGGTGCTTTTGAAACACTGACCTTATGGTTATCAGCCAAGTGCTTATCCCACAGTACCACTGGGCACCTCGGGTGCTTGTCTAGATCATGTGCGGTTGTTAAGTGCTGTGCGTTGGTTTCGACCCACAATGATCCTGCATAAGGTTCTCGAGAAGCAACTGGTGAGCTTGAACCGCCAATGCGGTTCAAGCCACATTAACCCACAATGCCACACCAGAACTCCCTAGTGCATTATTGGGCAGACTATTGCTGGCACATCAGGAGACATCCCTGGCTTCTCTTGTGAAGGTGGAAGACTTGGCTTTCATGATCCATCCTTGTTCGCTACAAGGCTAGAGCGAAGTTCCGGCTGTGATATGAGAGTGAACCCTCACACACAATCCATCTTGCTCTAAGACACAAGGCCAGGGGCTGAAGCTTCATCAGTTCTGTTGCTTTCTTACATGGACCCTTCTCTTCCCCCGCATCCGTCCAAAGCAGGAGCACAAAGGCCTACACTCCCAACCTCCCTGACCTGCCAGTGCCCGTTTTGATCATGTGATACGAAAGAAGGGCAAAGCAAACAGAGAAGTGAGAACCACTCTCTCTGGAAGATTCTCCCAGTGGAGGTTTGAGGGGAGGCCTCGAGGAGTTAGGGGGTCCTTTCCCCAGGTCAGCCTGTTAGGTTGTTTGTGAATTATGGGGAGAAGTGGATGTGAGGAAGGGATTGTGCTTTGAGCAAGGATGGACATTGGAAGCAAAAGTCAGGGTTGGAATGTTAGGTGCCCCCCACCCCATTCTCGGTAGGCAGTAGTGATGCACACGGAGCTCTGTTTCACTAGGACTCCAGGGGAGGGGTCCATCTTGTGGGGGGTCCTGCTGTAGAATGGAGACCAGAGACTGCAGCATGATGGTTCTTACCCTTCCAGAGCATACTCGTTCCACGTGAGCGCCGATGGGCAGATGCAGCCGGTGCCCTTCCCCCACGATGCCCTAGCAGGCCCCGGCATCCCCAGGCATGCCCGCCAGATCAACACCCTGAGCCACGGGGAGGTTGTCTGTGCTGTCACCATCAGCAACCCCACGCGGCACGTCTACACGGGTGGCAAGGGCTGCGTGAAGATCTGGGACATCAGCCAGCCAGGCAGCAAGAGCCCCATCTCCCAGCTGGACTGCTTGGTGAGGACCCCAGCACCGCGGCACCCCTGAAGGCTGATGTCAGAGCAGGAGAGTCCCGGAGGGTGGCGAAGGTACCCCGTGTACCCCGGAGGGCTGTGGGCAGCGCTCACTGCTGTCTCTTCATCCTGCAGAACAGGGACAACTATATCCGCTCCTGCAAACTGCTCCCCGACGGCCGTACACTTATTGTCGGCGGTGAGGCCAGCACACTCACCATCTGGGACTTGGCCTCGCCCACGCCCCGCATCAAGGCCGAGCTGACGTCCTCTGCGCCTGCCTGCTACGCCCTGGCCATCAGCCCTGATGCCAAAGTCTGTTTCTCCTGCTGCAGCGATGGGAATATTGCCGTCTGGGACCTGCACAACCAGACCCTGGTCAGGTGAGTCTGCCTGACATGAGTGACGGCCAGGAAAGGGAGATGAGGGGGCCAGCCTGAGGGTAGGGTGGGCTGAGAGCAGGGCAATGCCTGCCTGCTGCTCCATGGGGGGCCTGACAGCTCCCACGAGGCTTTGGGAGGAAGGTGAAGTTGAGTGGGTCTGCCGGTCAGTGTAGGTGATGGACGCCCCAGGAGAGCTGACCGTGTGCAGGTCACTCATGGTGTTTCCTAATGTAGGGGCAGTCTAGTATCCGTTGGGTGACAGCCGACAGCAGTCTGCACAGAGCAAGGTCTGTGACAGGCCCAGAAGCTCTATACTGGGGACACTATATATCAGCTGATTTTTGTGACTACCCTCGTCACTAGGCAGGTCCGTGGCTTCAGCTGGGCAATACTTGCAGGTGGAGAGGAAGTCGTAATAGGGACAATGGAGGGGCCAGGAGAGACAGCTGAGGGTCTGTGTTCCCCAGGTGGCAGGGCCAGCCTGCTCCTTTGTGATCCTCCTAGGAGAAAATGATTTAGGGCCTTTGTCTCCCTGCCCCCAACCTCCTGCCCCCTCCTTCTCCAAGAAGCTCCCTGAAGCTCGGAGACAGGCCTGGCTCCCTTCATGGGGCTGCTGGGGCTCACCTGTCCGCCCCCCTTGGTCTTCCTAGGCAGTTCCAGGGCCACACAGACGGGGCCAGCTGCATAGACATCTCGCACGATGGTACCAAGCTTTGGACAGGGGGTCTGGACAACACCGTGCGCTCCTGGGACCTGCGGGAGGGTCGGCAACTGCAGCAACATGACTTCACCTCCCAGGTTCGAGGGCGCACGCTCCCTACTCCCCAATACGTACACAGCAGTGTGTCGTCTTATCTCCCCTCTGAGGTCGCAGTGGTCAGATCAGAGTGTTAGTGTGGAATATGGGACCAAACCCAGCAGTCTGGGCAGGCTTCATGAAGGAAGCAGCAACAAAATTGGATGGATAAGTTTTGAGGTTGGAGTCACCTGACCCTGCTGCTTCATTTGTTTCTGGCTCTGCCCCTACCTCTGTGTTTGCCCTAATGGGATGGGAGTGATGAATGCTACTTCCTAGGTCTGAGGGCAGCCCCTGAAATGAGTCCTCTAAGTCTTAGCCATAAAACTGGCTCATTGACTTCATTTCACAAATGCAAGTATTATTGTTGTTGTTATTGTTGGGTATTTATTATTACCCACTTTAATATTAAACACTTAGATATTTAATATTTTAGTAAAAGCATTAGTCATGGAGACGGTGTAGCTTTGGAGGGGAAATAGCTGTATCACTGTGTTGGAATCTTGTTTCTACTGCTGTGCCTTCTGGGTACCTCAACTTCCTCCCCTGTCAATAAATGATACCTGTACTCCTGGGTTGTTGGGCTTGGGGAGGGCTTATTTTGCAGATGGTAGGGAGGTGTGAGATGGGGAAGGGTACCTGCGTGTGGGCCTCTGGGCACCACCTTGGCTCTGGAAAGCAGGGTGCTGACTATTGACCCCCACCCCCACCTGCAGATCTTCTCTCTGGGGTACTGCCCCACCGGGGAGTGGCTGGCCGTGGGCATGGAGAGCAGCAACGTGGAGGTACTGCACCACACGAAGCCTGACAAGTACCAGCTCCACCTACACGAGAGCTGCGTGCTCTCCCTCAAGTTCGCCTACTGCGGTGAGCCCTGGGGCTGGCTCGTGCCTGCAGAGTCCCCGGCCAGTCCCCCTTTAGGGATCTTATCCTTACTGGCACTCCCTCAGCTTGCCCCTCAGATGCGGGTGTCCCCACTAGGTGCAGGACACCCAGGCCCGAAGCCATTCCTGCTGGCCTGGGGCAAAGGAACAACTCCTTAAAGCCGCCTGGGCAGTTCCTCCAAGGGTCTCTGATTCCTCATAACCCTACATTTGGTGATGTGCCCCCTCACCAACTTACTGTGCCACCCTGGACCCCTCACATACCCTCTGCTGTCCTATGTCTAGATGTCTTTGTAGATAGGGGAAAACTTGGCCCCTGCCCCATATGGTTTTGGGGAGCAGTCAGGAGTCAGCACAAGGGGAACCCAGGCAGAGTGCACCCATGTATCGCTCAGGCTTTGTTGCTTCCATCATTTCCTGCTGCCTTCCAGGGTTGGACCTTCAATGGGTCAGCTGACCTCCATGGGTCTTTTGTGAATCTGATTGCTGAGATGAACTGATTCCTTGTTTTTCCATCCCAATCCTTCCCATCCATGAAAGGCCTCCTCTGCCTGGCCATGTGTCTGTCGTGTGTCTCGCTTGCAAAATGCCTCTTGCTCGTGGACAGTCATGCTAAGCACTGGTTAGAGGTTCACTCTGCGTTTCCATGGCAGCTGGCCTCTGCTGGGCAACTGTGGTGGGCAGGCTGGGGGGCGCGGCTTGCAGCTTGCTTGGAAGGCAGGAGGCCACATGCTGATGATTCTCCACCTCTCTCCTGCAGGCAAGTGGTTTGTGAGCACTGGGAAAGATAACCTCCTCAACGCCTGGAGGACACCTTACGGAGCCAGCATCTTCCAGGTACCAGCCACCATCTGGGCAGCGTGCTGACGGTCAGACCTGCCCTGGCCCCTTCCCTGCCCCACCTGCTGGAGAGAGAAGATGGGGTTGCCAGACATATTTCAGAGGAAACTTAGACCCAGAGGGGCCAGGTGGTACACACTCAACTGCTAAAGGGCTCTGCCCTTTAAGGGTGGAAACGTTTAAACAGGCTATTGTAGGATTTGAACTACAAGGTTGGAGGTTCAAACTCACCAGGCACTCCTGGGAAACCCTATGCAGGGTCGCTGTGATTCGGAACCGACTCCACAGTACCTGACCACAACAAGAACAGTTGTAGGATTTCTGGGGCACTAGAGGCTCAGAGGTGAAATTCTCGCCTTTTGTGTAGGAGACCTGAGTTTGATTCACTCCCATGCACCTCATGTGGCTTCCACACGTCTGTCCGTGGAGGCTTGCATGTTGCTGATACTGAACATGTTGTAGCGAAGCTTCCACACAAACAGGGACTAGAAAGAAAGCCCTGGCAGTGTACTTCTGAGACTCAGTCAGTGACAACTGTCTGGGTCACAGTGGTCTGACCTATACCGGGTCATGGGCCTAGTACAGGATCAGGCAGCTCCATTCTGTTATACCTGGGGTTGCTGAGAGTTGGGAGCCAACTCCAGGGCAGCTAACAACAGCCGCACTGGTAGGAGATAACGTGAACAAAGAAGGATAAAGATGTGCTCTTTGCTGAGCCTTCACCGGAGGCGATATGGTCAGTTGGGGAAACGGAGCAGCCTTTTTTCAGAGCAGTATCATCTGTTCATCTGTAAGCAGATCTCTCAACAACCCAACATAAGGAAGAAGGTCCAGAAAGACAGGAGGGGAAGGAAGAAGCATCTTCAAACTTTTGGAGATCCGAGGCCCAACGCACTGCACCCATGCACACGCTCTCTCTCTCTTGCTCTCACACACACACACACACGCGTGCACTCTCTCCTAGGCCACCAGCCACTTTCTCGCTGTAGGCTGGAGATGTCTTTGGTTCAGTGTGTCACCCACATAACTTTCAGGGTCTCACCCTTTCCTCTGGCAGTTTCATAACAGAGCACAAATCCTGTCAGGACATCATCAGCACAATATCCAGCCTGCTGACTCCTAGTAGAAACGCTTTCCTGTTTTTTAACCTCAGAGCAGAGGCTCATGTTAAAGTGTTGTTATTACCACATCAGACCTTGGGAATGAGCTGTGGCTGGGCTTGGCGGGGTGGGGACACCTAACTGTACAGCTTTGTCTGGGCTGTCTGCTGTGTACTGCTCCAGGTTGGTACTCTAGTCTTGGGAGAGGAGAGGGTGGTTTCATTCAGTCGGTATGAAATGAACCGTGTGGAGTCCTGAGAAAATGAACTGTTCTCTCTCTCTTCTCTCCCCTCACTTTTCCGGCTTCTCCAGTCGAAAGAATCCTCGTCTGTCTTGAGTTGTGACATTTCGGCGGATGACAAATATATTGTAACGGGATCTGGTGACAAGAAGGCCACAGTTTATGAGGTCATCTACTAAACAAGGACTCTAACAGGGCTGTCAAACTCTGGGAGAAACAGACAGTGAGACCCCGGGCACGGGGCCCCCAGAGGATGTGGAGGATGGGCCGCGAGCAGCCGCGCGTTCCAGGCTGCGCCCCTGCAGGCTGCGAGGGCACTCGCCCGTCACGGTTGGGCTCCTGGTATGGATTGACAAGGCTCACAGACTCAGCTGATCGCCTCCTCCTCCCCTACCAATCCTGGCAGATGTTACAAATAGAGTGTCTGGAGGCTCCGGCTCCCCACCGACACCCACACCCCCATAAATCTGTGTCTCTTCTTCCCTTTTCTTTCGACCTGTTTGCCCTTCCCTGCCTGGGCTTGGGGACACTGGAGTGGACCACATTTTTGTGTGTGTGCTGGGGTGGGGGCGGGGGGGGCTCATTTTCCCAATTGTGCAGTGCACAAGATTTGTGACAAATGTAAATAATAGACCCTTGTCTTGGACTGGTTAGTGGGGGAGGAGACCCCCTTCCCATGGGAGCCCCTCACTGTGTATTTTGTCTGCTGTATTTGTAATCCACTCGTAGCGGTGGTGGCGTTTTTTGTTTTTTGTTTTTTTTTTTTTTGGAAAGAAGTTTCCATCTTGGAAAGCGGAGCAGACTTAGATGGGGATAAAAAGAGGAGAAATTTCTTTTGTGGGGAGGGAGGGGAGCCACAGCAGGTAATAAGGTTGCCCATCCGGCACCCCTGGAATGTACGCTTCTGTGCGTGGGTTTGAGGGCTGTCGGGCTCAGTTCCCGACGGGCAGTGCTCGAGAAGTTGCCAGCCTGTGCGTAGCAGCACGAGACAGATTTTCCACCTTCTCCTGTGTGCTGCCCCTGGCCCGCTCTGTCTCCCTCTGTTTCTGTCTGTCCGTCTCTCTCTCCCCTCCTCAGCCGCCGTCTGTCTCTTTGGTGCACACTCGCACACTTGGTTATTGTGAAGAGAAAAGGAAGTTCAAAGGAACCCCTTCTCCAGCCTCCTTGATCTTTGGACACAAACCTATAAAGGGGAAAGCAAGTTAGAGGGAGGCATAGCAACTCAGCTCAGGGAGCTACCAGAGAAAAATAGCAACTGATGTGGGTGCTTTTTTTTTTTTTTTTTTTTTTTTTTTTAATTTGAATAAAAAGAATTAGAAGTGATGTCCTTTTATAAAATGCCTTCTCCCCTTTCCTGCCTGTGCCGCCTTCGGACAAAGTATATATTAGCCTATAGGGTTGCAAGTCTGAAAGGCTTTATCCTACGCAGCCCCGGCGGGTGGGAGCCAGGGAGGGATGGGAGATGGCGCCATTCTCCTCACACTGGTGATTTCTTGTCACTTCCCGTCTCTTACGGGCCCACGGAAGCGCTACTGCTGAGTATTGTCTCCTGTGGATATCACTTTTTGGTACCAAAATGTTCTAAGATGTTAGGGTTGCTTCTTTTGTTGTTGGGTTCCTTCTGTTTTTCGGTCCCGTTTTCTTCTTTGAAAGAAACGTTAAAGGCCACTGTGAGCCCTCCTTGGTGGTGAGCTCTTCTTGGATGTAGCATGTGGAAGATAATTTTTATACTGCATTTTTATGGATTATTTTATAATGCGTGATTCTGCCTGGTGAGGGGGATGGAGGGGCACCACGGCACGCTTCTGTCTTCTGTGAACCTGCTCCCAGGTCCGGCAGCTCCGCTGACAGGGAGAGGTGGTGTGGAGGCATGGTGCTGCTCTATACCTCTGGGGCTCGGTGGGAGGAGGGTCCTCTCGGTCTCACATGCTCATCTGCCACCTCTAGCCACACAGGGGAGGGCAAAGGGAAAAGAAAGTTAACTCCTAAAGAAAAAAGAAAATGAAAGTCATTGTAATGAGCTGTTTTTATATTTTTAAAAGTTACTATTTAAAGGTTGGCTTGATTGTCGCGTCTTAATTGCCTCTCTCCCCAGTTTGTCAGTTCTTTCTTGTCACAAAGAAGGACCCACATCCCTAGACAGAAGCCAGTCTTATTGCCAAGTTGCCTCCCATGCCTCCCCTACCCACCCCCTGAAGGAGTCTGAATGGGGTGTTCTGGAAAGTTATGAGGTGCATAATCCTGAGTCCACATGGTCATCCCAGTGTAGGTGCCTGAGATCTGTAAGCTGGAGAGCTGGGATTTATGGGTAGGTGAGCAGAAGAGAGTTCCTTAAGGTGGATGGCACAGGTCAACACCAGAGTGTCTATACAACTGTTAATGCGAAACTTTTGGGGGGGGGGGGGTGCAAATAAGAAATGCAATGAACTTCATATGCAACTTCAAGTGTCTGAACCGTCTGGACCCTGCAAACCGGCATCTTTTTTTTTAAAGCTTACATTTAAGCTTTGCAAGAAAATCCTCCACCTATAGGTGAGAAAGGTGTGTTCCTAGAGGATCCTGAAGGATGAATTGGCACCAGGGCAGGACTGGATGCAGGTCAGTGCCACCAGAAAGGCTGACCGAAGGGGAGATCTCTAGGACTGGCCCATACTCCAGGGTTCCATGGGCCCATTAATAAATCTCACTAGCATGGCTATCAACGCCTTGCCTTATCAGCATCTGTATTATTAATATACGACTGCCTGCCTGCTGCCATTCACATAAGTAGCAGTGACGGCCTCCAATCAAGCCCAGTCTGCTAAACCTAGGAAATTCAGGGGCCCTGGAGCTGGCGAGGGCATGGTCCTCTCGGCATACAGAAGAGGCTTCCAAGAGGTGGTAGGAGGCCTGGCTTCCCTCGTGGCATGGTCTTGAGTGACAATCCATTTGGACAACAATTGGCTTCACTTTCCAGGCCTGTACTTTGCAGCAGAGGGCCAGATGATAGACCGGGCCAGAATAAAGTTCTGTGTGGGCTCAGGACTGGTCCATTGTGGTGCCAAGATAGGGTTGGAGCTTTCTGGCCCCAGTTGAGTGGCAGAAGGAATAAATGTCTATCCGTGAATACATATATAAATCCAGTCATGTCCTGCTGCTTGTTAAGGGCTGTCAGTTCTGACTCATAGCGACCCAATAGAGGGTTTCTGAGGAGCAACTGGTGAGTTTGAACCACGGATCTTGTGGATCAAACCAACCTTTTAGTCTTGTGCTTATCCTACAGTGCCGCACCCAGTTACTGCCCCAGGCCCCAGGCCCATGTCAAGACCTGTATCCATGGTATTTTTGGAAGCAGATCTGTTGCCAGGCATTTATTTTGCGGCATTTCTGCCTGGACTCCAACGCACCAACCTATTGGTTAGCTGTCCAGTGCTTCAAGTCAGCTCCAACTCAGCAAGCCTATAGGATTTCCAAGGACCTGCCGACTTTGTTAGCACTCCAGTGCTTATCCTACAGCACCACACCAGGACGTGGATTAGTAATCAACTAACTGACCCTCCAGAGAAGGCTAAGGGAATTCTCATTTCTGAAAAGACACACTTCAAAGACTTTGGGGGCTGCCAGGAACAGATAATGGAGTTTCAGGCCTGCCCATGAGGGAGAGTGGGGGGGTACTGCAAGGTCCCTCAGTCTGGCCTGTGTAAGTGGTGCTGGGGACTCATCATTCCTTGGCTCCCCTTCTCTGACTCAAAACTACACCTGCCTCCCCTTCCCCTATCCGCCTCTCCTCACTCCACAGTTCCCATGGTTCCAGCCCCATGGGCAGCATCTGAGAACTTGGGGAGAAAAATCCCCCTTCAGTTCAACTTAAGTCCATCTGCATTTTGACGACTCTGCATATTCAAGTTTATGGAGATTGCGCTAGTCTAAGCCATTCTGTGGTGCACAGGCTGAACAGGACCATGGAGGACCTTGATATTGTAGGTATTGAAAGCAGCTACATGGTCTTTCCTCATGCAAACACTGAAGACCATGCTGATCAGCAAGGGTGTAAGTCATTGTTCCTACAACACACTGACCTGGCTTCTAGCCACTCTGAGTCAGTGCCCCAGTTCTCAGCCCCAGCAGACACAGGGCAGCCCCTACCCTGATCTATAGTTTCTACAGATGAAGTGGCGCTGTGGGATAAAGCACTGGGCTGCATGGTCAGGGGTTCAAGCCCACCAGCTACTCCTTGGAAACCCTATACAGGGGCATTATGAGTCGGGACCAACTCAATGGCACTTAACAACACAGGAAGGTGAGGGATACAGAGATCTGGATCCCACAGCTGGAAGAAAGCTTTTATGTTATGAACTCACCAGCTCATATCCCAGTAAGAAAGAAAAAAAAAAGGAGTGATTTATTTTTCTCCCAAGAACATAGAGTATAGCAAATAAATGTTCTAATGAAAATTTCTAGGCAGAATGAGATTATTAGACACGATTTGATTTATAAGATTAACAAGATAAAAAATGTTATTCTATTGCCTGTGAATAAGCCACCTTGAGTATGTCTAAAGACTGTACCAAAATTGGACCTTTGAAAAGACATCTATAATGAGCCCCTCATTTCATAGAAGGGACAATTAAGGCTCAGAAAGGGCAAGAGATTTACCATGAGTCACACTGCGTGAGTCCAGGTTACTACTTAGCACCTCCTCCCCTAAACCTTTTACTGCATTTTCTGAAGCCAGAAGGAAGTTGTCAAGTGGCAAGACTAGATGATGTTGTTGAAAGTATTAGTATCCAGGAAGTGAGTTCTGCCCCTTCTCCACCCAAACTTGTGAGTAAATTTCTCCTGGAATAAAGAAAGTGCACGAGAACAGCCACAAACCAGTCTCCTGCTGCAAGAACATCTGAGCACTCAGCCCCCCATTTTGTCATCCATCTGATCACCTATTCTATCTATTCTTTCTACACCCTCAGTACCCATTCACTCCAAGTATTCTTTAAAAAAAACAAACAAGGGTCCATATATTCATCCATTTATCCAGCCTTCCACCTGTCTGTCTAGCCATTCTTGTAGCCACTCACCCATCCATTCAACCAGCATTTGTGTCATGAAAACCTACTGTGTGCCAGATATGGTTCCAGATGCTGGGATGAAAAATCAGCAAAACCCACAATGCCTGCCTTCCTGAAGCTCTTAGCCAGCTGGGAGAAGCAAGCACTTCAATTGGCCATGACCACAACATGAGAGATACATGAAGCCGCAGACAGACTAGATGAAGTAACCCAACTGGAATAACCTGATATGGCCAGTCAGAGAGGGGAGGATTCTTGAACAGCATGTGCTAAGGTCTGGGGTAAGACAGGTTGCTATCCTAACCTAACACCTCCACCTTACCCAATCTAACCCTTCCTCTCTTCCTCCTCCAGCTCCTATCAGCTTTCAGGTTTCAGTTCTTACTACCTATCCCTCT